CCTTCATCCAAACATCAGCACACAACCTGCGAGATTTATGATCAAGATCAGCCCAAGACAAAGCCCAGCCACTGAGCTGCTTATAGCGAAGCCTATACTGGGGGTCATCCTGAGCAGCCCCCAATAAGCCTATCAAGGTAGTGGTGCAAGCCCCTGGGGCCCACAACCCAGAGCACGTGGCGGCCTGAGCACGCGTGGACTTAACCTGCCCAGGAGAAAGCCCCAAGACCTCATGGCCCCACGACCTCACGGCCAGGACCCCCGGTTTGCACATCTTGCTCGCTCGACCGACAAGCCGAGCAAGAGAGCTCACCTTCTTGCTCTTGCGATAGGCGGTAGCACGCCGCTGTCGCAACTTACTCATATTTCGGCGGTGACCTGCAGAAGACATGACCCCCAGATCCCGGACCGAGCCTCTCCACTGAATTGGAAGGTTGACTGAAGCGAACATCTGCATGATCTCGGCTCCGAGCTCTTTGTGGGATACCAAAAGCGTACTTTTATCAGCAAGGACAGTGCCAGCAGCCTCCAGCTCGTGGCACAAGTGCAACGCGGCAGGCACGAACGCGGCGAGGACCTCCTCGCGGGAACCCTGCCGCGTCTGAGTGACATCGTCAACGTATCCCTTGGCGCGGACAGGCAAGAAGGAGGCGTGCGCCTGATCCAGTATGTCATGCAATAAAAAATCTTGATCCACGGCATGGATTGGCCACAGCCAGGCAAGATGCCCATTCCAATGGGAATGAGGTCAGTACAGAACCCCTGGACCTCGAGGATACGCGGGGCTTCATGCAACACAATCCCCAAATACAGGAGGAACAGGGGGTACCTCATTTTCACGGCGAGTCCAACAAGGCGACAAGGGTCCACAGTGCCAGAAAACTTCTTAAGGCCCCAATAAGCTCCCACCGAGCACAACCCAAGATACCTTGCCATCCCGTGGCCAAGCTCTCGGTTAAGCGCAGCCTGCAGCGCCGAAGACCCTCGAATCGCAGTGCCCCAATGAATGACCTGGGCAAGGGGCCAGTCCTCAAAATGGCTGCCACGAGCTTTGCAATACACTCGGTACAGAGTGGGACACTTGCATACAGGTCTTTCGCTCCCAGCAGACTTGGGCAACAACGCTATGATGCCCAACATAATCTGCGTCGGCCACATGAGCCGACGCTCGCAACTATTGAAGAGGCGGGTGCACGACTGCACCGCCTCAGGCGGCAGGGAAACCAGCATCCGAGGTGGCCACTGATCCACGCCAACAGCCGTGTCCTCACGGGAAAGACGAGCAGCTCTCTGAATATCGCCTGGTTCCAAAGGTTCAAGATCCTACAAAGACCCCAGGGCCAACGGTCTGAGGGCATCCAAAACCCTCGAAAGCTGCTCCCGCTGGTCCCCTTTCGCCTTCCAGAATGTACCCCGCATGTCCTCGCGGTATTTCGTCATCTCTTCAGGGGGCTGATGCGCGCCAGCTGGCGCTACTAAAACTTCAAGGTCGGCACCGTGGTCACGCCGCGGCCACGAGTGGACGCGCGTTGCGCCTCGAGGCAGAGCCTTGAGGAGCCACTGCGTCGCGCCAGCCTTAGTCTCCGCGCGCGCAGCGCTCCACGCCGTAGTCAAGGTGGCGCTGATCGTATCGGCCAGCACATTAAGATCATCCAGACCCTGGGGCAGGCTAGACAAGTGATCCCGCCACCAATCAGGGGCCCGAGCATCTCCTGCCCCATGAAAATCAGCCACCCGAGGAGCAAGGCCAGCTAGGACACCCCTCAGGATGTAAAACGACGTCCGCGAACGTTTGGCAATATACATTCGATGCTCCCAAAGCTCCTGCGAGACATGGGCCCAGAACCAAAGCGAAGGTTGCCGAACGCTTTCTCCGCATGCCCCCCGTCGCCCAACTTTCCCGAATTTGAAGGTAGGACGCGCTCCTCTGGAACCTTCAGGAGGGGCGAGTGCCCACGCCGAGGCCCTGGTCAAGTACACCTCCTCAGTGGCCGCGCCCCAAATCGAGTACTGCAACGAGAGCTCAGACGACAAATTCTCAAATGCATGCGGCAACAACTTACCAATCAAAAAGTGAGGGGGGAGGAGACCATGCTCTGCCACCTGCTCTAGATACTGGGGCCACGGTAGGTCGGGTCCAAAGCATGGCGGAGAAGAAGGTGCGCGCTGACGCCGCCACAGCTCTTGCCCGACCACTGTACAAGTCAAAGACACCGCTAGGCAGGCGTGAGTCTTGAACGGGGAGGGGGTCATGTTTAGCCACACGCAAGTAGTCAGCAATATCTTCAGAGGCCACCACGTAATCAATCAATGACCCCCTCCCTTGACTACAGGTAAAGTCAACTCCTTCAGGTGGGGTGACACGGGCATGGGACAGCTTAGGAAAACCGATCAAGTCCAGATTTGTGATCGGGATGTTAAAGTCGCCCATGAGGATCCAAGGGGTAGTTAATGCGCCCACGAACTCAGATCTCACGCAACCGATCTATATTCACCCCACTTACACCCAGGCCGTCATCTAAATAACACACGCCTACAGCAAGAACAGCTTCTTGGTTTTAAGCTGCAAGAACTGCCAGTGGATTCCAAAGCCCTGATCCAGGAGGGACGAATCCGAAGACAGGAAACGCCTAAAACAAATACCTCTACTCACTACGGCCCCGACCCCCCCGTGGTGCAGGCCCCCATCCAGGGGAGCGGGTGGCAGGGGTGAAGTGAGGCCTCCACTTCATCTGCTTACACTTCCGTTTAGCAAGCTTACAAGAATCGGTGAGCATACGATGCTCGCAAAAGAAGAACCCATCACACATCGGTTCACTTCCTGGGCGAAAGACAGTGAAACCGCATTCCAGCTCGTGATTTTGCAGAACAGAAATTCGACTGCGTTTGGCACTGGCTGCAGGCGGTGGCGGCTCAGGGGCCAGCCAGGCCTCACGCCGCCTTCAGCGTCTCGACCTCCGCCTCGGTCAGGGCTAGGAAGACTGCACACGTTCACATGCATCGCCAGCCCCTGGTTCTCCCACGCCAGCGGGCCCATGATCTCCATCTGGAACAGCACCCCCGCGCGGCTGGAACTGCTGCAGCATGCGGTTGAAGGAAGCGGCGGCATCGGACCGTGCAACTCGAGCACGCTTGGCGGCCTTCTGGTTAGCTTGCTTGCAGAGCAGCTCCTCAAGCCGATCTCGCTCAGCTTCCTGCAAGGGCTCTTCGATGGATTGCTTCTTGAGTTCAAGTAGCTCATCAAGACGATCTGTGCCAAAATCAGAGGCAACATCAGCCAACTCATCATCGTCACGCTCAAGGGAGACGCGCATCTGCTGCGCCGCATGCCAGAACTGGAACTGCTGATCATGTAGCTGGCACCACGCACGGAGTTCTGGCTCACCCATGGCTGTGAAGTTGGGCGGCGGCTGCGGCAGCGCGCCAGAGCCAGCAGCGTCGCCACGAGCACCACCGTCAGCAGCATGTGCAGGCACTTGCGCAGGAGGTTGAGGGCCAGGCGCAGGCGCAGCCCGTGGCGCGCCTGCTCCACCAGGTGCAGCCGCGGCAGGGGCAGCAGCCGCAGCGCGACGCCGTGCTGCGGCCGCGGCATCGGCCTGGCGGCGCTCCTCACGCCTGCACTCCTCGCGGTAGGCATCGGCAGAGAACAGCTGCTTGGCCTCCTGCGCAGCTCTCGTCTCCTGTTGGCACTGGGCCAGCCCCTCCACGGCTGAGGCATGTGCCGCCTCCGCCTGCTGAAAGGCTTCACGATACTTGACAGCGGCTGCCAGGCGTGCTTCCACCTCGGTCTGGGCGATGCGCTCTGCCCGCGCCGCCTTCTCGACCTCCTTCGAAAGCTCCGCCTGGCGTGCCGCCACCTTCTTCTCCAACTCATTCGCACTGACAGGCTCTGGCGGTTCAGCTGACTGAGCACCAACTGCAGCCGCCTCAGCACTGGCAGCCTTCAGCGTAGCGGCCATGGCGGGGTGCAGGGCGGCAAGGGCACTGAGCTGCTTGGCGAGGCCAGCCTCCTGCCCAGCGCCAGCCTGCGCGCTGCCGCCTGCCGCAGGAGCGGCGCCATTCGCCAGGTAGCTGCCTCCACATTTAGAGCAGCACCAGTTCCCGTAGCGGTCGTACTCCCAGTGGCCGCAGGCAGCGCACACGGAGTAGCCACCTCCTCCGCGGCGCGGGCGGCCACCGCCACCGTCGCCGCGAGCGCCGCCACCACGCCGGCCACGGCCAGCAGCAGCATGCCACGGGGCGCGATACCGCCAAGCCATCGCTCCCGACGCCTGGCACAAGAGGGGATGTTGCTCCTGCAGGAGCTCACCAAAGCAGACTGCAGGCACCGACCAGGGCAGACTGATCGGGCCAGAAAACACTCGAATGCAAGCCGCGGACTAGCGGTATCCACGTGTTCCCCTGCGGAACAAGGCATCTTGAGCCAAAATGGCTACGGAGGAGGAGGAGGCGGGGGAGGGGGAGGAGGAGGAGAGGAGGAGGGGGAGGAGGGAGGAGGAGGAGGAGGGGGGAGGAGGAGGGGAGGAGGAGGGGGAGGAGGAGGAGGGAGGGAGGAGGAGGAGGAGGAGGAGGAGGAGGAGGTTTCTTGATGCGCGCCCTCACGGCAGGGTTCGCATGCGGCCCCCTGCAAGCGCCAGCTCTGGGGGGCATCGGGGCGGCGCCGCCTCTCCCTCGAGGAGGACGGCACGAGGCGTGCGCCTCTCGCAAAGGCTGCGCGGCCTTCCCGCCTCGGCGCCGGGCCCCCTCCTGGCGGCGCCTCGGACGCCGCCCCGAAGGCGTGCTCCGCGCGCCAGCGAAGGGGGCCCAGGGACACACAGATAGACAGGCACGAATCACAGGGTTCCCCAAACGTTCCCAGGCTTTCCGTGCTTTCGTCTTCCCCCCCTCCACTTCCTGAATGTGCCCGTCTTTTCCTGGGAGTCGACGATTGGTTGTGCCTGTGTGTTGCTCTCCGCCCTGATCCGGGGTCCAGCGCCGATCCGAAAGACAGCCGCGCGGACCGGGCTGTCCCGTTCTTTCGCCCTCGAGGGCCTCTTGAAGTGGAGCAGCACCACCGTGCCGTCTTTTGCGGCCGCGGAGCTCGAGAAGGCGTCCAGGACCGCCGCACAGATCTCTGCGAAGCGCTGGTGGCGGCTGTTCTGTTCGTCGCGCTCCTTTGGGGCCCCAGAGCCTACGAGCGGCGAACGTGCCCATATCCACGCCCTCGCGGTCCGGATTGTGGGGCGTGATCCCGAGGATACGGCATGGACACGCCCCGCGAGGGGCATCCGCAAACAGGCGCCCTGTATCCATGGGGTCGCGGCCCGGGGGCCCCGCGAGGCCGTGGACATGGAAGATGTCCTCGCCTATTAAACAAGCAGCGTGGTGACCTGGAATCCCGAGAAACCTCAACTACCGTACCATCTGTCACCGCGCGGCTTTGGGACACTCGAAGGCCCGCGATCGCTCAAGGCATCTCTGGAGAACGACGCCAGCCCCCAAAAAACCGTGCGCTCAGCCCGAGATCTCCACGGACTCCCCCGACGGTGTGCTCCCCGCACCCTTCGCGGGGTGCCGACACCGATGCTCCCCAGGCCTCTCCCTTGGTGTGATGGGCCAACTCTCCACCACCACGACCATGGGTAGGGAGAATGGGGAGGTCTTCCTCCTCCTCCTCCTCCTCCTCCTCCTCCTCCTCCTCCTCCTCCTCCTCCTCCTCCCAGTCGCACTATGGCACAGGCAGTGCGCGCGCGACTGAAGAACCCACCCCACATCATCTCCCCCCTGTTTTTCCTTCTCGCAAATGCAGCGATGGAGGCAGGCGCAGGGAGAGGGAGCGGCGGCGGCTGGCGGACAGTGCGAGTGGCATCGTACAACCCGTTGTCGGCGACCGCGCCAGGCAGAATATACGACATCAGCCAGGAGTACAAGGGCCATGACTTCATCCTCCTGCAGGGCACAGGCATGAGGTTGCCCAAGGATAAGGAACCCTTTCGCACACCGTCGCCGACTCACTTTTTCTTCCATGCGGGGTATGACAAGCAGACGCGCTCGTCCTGTGGTGTAGCCATCGGAATGCACGTGCGAAGATATCAACCCCAGTACATCACCAGAGTCACAATGGCGACGGGCAAGATTCAGGGACGTGGATTAATGATTCGATATCGCAGGGGCAGGCAGGATGTAGCACTCTTTTCGTTATATTATCCAACGAGAGGGAAAGGCAAAGGAGCAATAGCCATCCAGAAAGCACTATCGGCAGAACTTACTTCCTGGTTCAATGAGCAGATGAATCGATTGCCTTCGAGATGCCTCCCCATCATCGGCACAGACTTGAACAGCACGTGCGCCGAGGACAGTACGTTTCCATACATATCAGGGCCATGCGAAGCAGATCATGACGGCATCAACTACGGAATTATCAAACCTGTGTTGAAAGTGCATGGACTCGTTCTGGCGAACACATATTTCAATGCAGGGATCACGTACTACGGGATCGACCACAATGTCAGAAAAAAAATTGACTACATTATTGTTCCAGCAGCGGTACTTGACAACATCAACGAGTGTATGGTATCATGGCGAAAAGGAAAGAGACTTCAACACATACGATGCGTGGCGCCCAAGGATCACTACCCATTAACTCTGGATTTTCAGCATTCATATGAATCCATACATCAACGGCCTCGACACAAACAACCCAATCGAGAATCGTGTAATGCCATGTTACTTTACGGACACAGACGAGAAGAATTTGTAGGCAGTGTCGAGGAGGCCCTGGAGAAACATATGGACACCTTTGGACAATGGGAATTTGAAGGCAACGTTGACATGATAAATGCAGGAATCATGCAGATACTCAACAACGTTGCGACCAAGATGCTCACAGAGGCGCCAGGATACACAGAGGACAAGGGCAACACATTCAACATGAGCGAGCAGGTCGGCAAACTACTCGAGGAGAGACGACGAGCCAAAGAGGAGGAAGTCTCGAATGAAGATCTATGCATTGAGATAGCACGCATCAGCAGAACACTCAAGAAGCGCAAGCAAAAACTAGCTGAAGCACGACTTCAAGACAGAGTCGAGGCACTGTGGGAAGCTTGGCGAGATAGGAAGTTCTATGATGCACACAGGATAGCCAGACTCATCGCAGGACAGCGCAGAGGACCTCGAGGGCGACACTACAGCAGGGTACCCACATCACGAGCATCAGCCATAGAATGGATCAGCCAGTTCCAGAAGGCAGGCACGAGTGGAGGCGCCAATGCTAGAGTACTTCATAGAAAGGAGGCGCCAACCATCACCACAGGATTCTGGAGACAGCCATTTGATGATGGACAGCAAGCTGAAAGGATGCACTTTTTCCCATCGCACTTGGAATGGATCAATGAACCAGAAGACGAGATTGACTATCAAGCGGCACACCAAGATGCTCTCCTTGATGCAGAGAAACTACGCAAGGCGGTACGCAAACTCCCCTCATGGAGAGCAACACCCTCATGGAGCATCTCGAGTGATCTTCTGAGAGTCATGATGGACCCCAACTGGTACTACAAGAAAGCAAAACGACGGGGACTTCGAAGCGCAGAGGAAGATGCAGAAAAACTGGGTCAGGAACGGGGGTTCTCCGTCCCGTCGGGCGGCGTCGGCGCCAACCCTGATCGTCGCGAGACAATCCAGGAGATTGGCCGTAGGGGCCCTGCTGGAGATCAGAGGGAAGCGTGTAACCGCCCGACTAATCAGGAGATGAGAGTCGCCACGTTGGACGGATTTGTACGGGCAACCACGGGCGAACATGCAGGCGAACAGGATGACGATCCCATCCCACGACCAGGAGAAGTACCGGAAGAACAGCAAGGAGCACATGAGGAGACCGAGGAAGAGAACAAGGTAGACATCAACATGATCAAGGCTCCCAATTTCGAGAGATGCGTCTACCTTTTATGCCGCACGATCAGGCAAGCAGGAAGGGCACCAGCGGTTTGGCATCAGGCACAGTGTTGCCGACTCCCCAAGCACAATGACAAGCTGAACACTGCGGGGGAGAGACCTATCATGATATTTTGTGGACTTGGCAGAGCTTACTACCGATCGATGATGAAACACAATGCCATATATCCGTATTGGGCGCATGGTGGAATTGCTCATAGAAGAAGGGAGGATGCGATGTTGGTACAAATGTGTGGATCTGCCAGGCTTCGAAGGGCGGGATTGAACCACATCACACGATTTCATGATGCCAGTAATGCGTTCTACTGTATTCACAAAGAGCATGCTGAAGAGGCGGCAGATGAGCTAGCCGTCTCAGATCGAGTGGATTTATTCTATCAAAGAATTCAGAACAGCACTTTTATGATTGACGACGGAGTTTACAGTGGGCATCTGGCCAATCAGAGTGGGGTGCTACCAGGAGATCACGCGGCTACAAAGTTGTTTGTGAAGGCTCATGGAGCAGGAATACAGAAGCTAATTGACACCATGGACACGGACCCGTGGCAGAGAGCGCTGCACATGCAACTTCCTGCTCCACTCCGAGGGCCACACGACGAGAGAGTCACGGACCTGAGCACCTCGGTCTTCGTGGACGACGTGGCCCGCAAGATCGTGGGCGCCAACGCGGAGCACCTGTCCGCTGTGGCGCAGTGGGAGAACGAAGTGGTTGACAGACTTCTGCACGAGATCGGAGGAGTGCAAAATAAAGAAAAACAAACCAACATTGTCCAGGGAGCAGGCCGACAATCAGGAATATTAAATCGTCTGTTTCACGAACATCGGGTTCCCCTCCAAGGGCATGTTCTCTCAGAGGCGAGGTATCTCGGGGGCAGACAACATTACAACAACGGGTTCTCGGCCGAGAAAAAGTACAGAATGCAGGCCCTCAAGACGGCCTGGCACAAAATGGGTAAGTTCTGGTCTACTCCAAAAATCTCGATGAGGTTCAAGGGCATTGTTTTCACAGGGTTGGTCCTGAACGCGGCGCTCTCGGGATTAGAAGCGTTCGTCCTCAACATGCGGAGCCCGATCACCGAACGGTCCCTGGAGCCCCTGCAGCAGTTAGTCTACAAATACGCGAGGGTCGTGCTTCGAGGAAAATACACCTCCAGAAATCGAGATCGAGTTCGAGCCCCTTCCAATCAAGAAGTTCGTAGACATCTCAAAATAGGAACCCTCTTCACCGAGTTGAGAATCAGGCGTCTCAAGTGGCTGCAGGACATTGTGTGGAACCAGAAGGCACATGAGCAGGTGATCGCAGCGCTGGTAGGTAGAGCTTTTTGTGAAGATGTGCCCCTTGAATTCGACCCTCAAGGCAAGGTGCTCCCAACGGCCAACCCCTGGCTGAAGCAGTTCTGGCAGGACGTTCTGGCGCTCGAGGGAACCACCAGGGGCCCAGAGCTCCTAGAGGAGCTAGAGGGAAACTTTTTAGGTTTGTTCCTAGGAGAGGGAAGAGAGATTTTCAGAGCAATTGATGTTGCTGAATTGAGGTCTATCGAACTTGCAAGGACGGTTCCCCCCCCTGTGTGCCTGGGCGGGATCGGGGGTACTGCGACCCCCCCTCTTCAGGAAGAGCAGGGCGATACACCTCAATTGCCCGTCCAATGCCCAGTTTGCGAGGAAGTGTTTCCTGATCAGAAGAGCATGGTCACGCATTGTGTGAGAATTTGCGCGAGAGGGCGAGAGGACACAGAAAAGATCCTGAGGCAGACTTGTGCCACGGACAGGATCCCTCATATCGCCACGCTGTCGAACTATTGCATTCTCTGCCAAAGTAACTTCTCGGATCGTGCCACCGCTCAGTGGCACCTTGCAGCGTCAGTGAAGCATCAGAGATGTGTTGCAGATTTTTCGGTGAGAGCTCCGCAGAGGAAAGCCCACACCGTCACGCAATGCCCGTTGTGCCTTTTTATTGCTCAGACTCCTGACCTTTTAGATCAGCATTTAGCGCACAATCACGTTTTGCCTTCTATTGAGAATCTTTCGATCACCATTGATGTCGCGGTGGGTATCGGCGGTCGAGGCAGTAGAGAAGAGCGTCAAGCCAGAGGAACAGCTGACCAAGAAGGCCAAGGGCGGCGGCAAGAGTGGAGGAACCCAGGACACCAAGCTACTACTGCAACTGGAAGCTCGCATGAGAGAGAGAGAAGCGTCAGACGACCATTTCAAAGGCCCGACGGGCCACCCTGTTTTTTTGGCCATCAAGGAAGCTACCACCAAGTACGAGAAGCTCGTCAAGGAGGCGGGCGCAGGGCACGAGTTCGGGTCACCTCACCTACACGCAGCGGGAGCCATGATCGCTACAGTCGCCAGCACGTCCACAGAGGGCAAAAACGAGGAAATTCAATGCATATTCGCAGCAGTCAAACGGCTCGAAGAATTCAGAGAGACGGGCAGCCCGTCAGACCTCGAAGACTGGTGCGTCACATGCAGATCAAGCGAGCTCCAAAGCAAACAAGGAGTTCAACCAACATCACGTCTTTCATTCAATTTCGAGGGACACTGGCCCGTGGCGAAGAACCTCACAAAGGAGCAGCAGATCGCGGCGCAGAAGGGCAAGCATCATCCACAGGAGCTCGACACAGGGGGCAACTTCACACTGGTCAGGGTGAATCGCCTGATTGGACTATGCCTACGAGCGAGTGGCCTCCAGAAGATGCCAGGGAAGGCACCGATTGGGGGGCTTGCATACGGCATCAGAGGGAAGCAGTGAGCCAGAGGAGAAGAGAACATGTACCTGGAGGAGTAGGTAGGGACAGTAGAGCAGGTCAGGAGCAATTTTTGTTCAGAGAGAGGCCTAGAGCCCAGGCAGCAGCCCCCCAACAGCCTCCAGGGATCGACTCCTCCTCCTCGGTCGGGCTCGGAGCCTCCCTCCCTCGCCTACCTTCGCTCGCTCAGTCGTCGACCCTGGGAGGATAGGTTGGAGGAGCTCAGACTGCGAATCCAGCGAAGAGAGAACTCTCGCAACCAAGTTTAGTAAGCGCCCCCGCGCCTAGACGCCACTGCTAGCGCTGCGCGCGCATTGGCAGCGGCGTCAGGCCTAGCGCTCCCACACTATTTAAGGCCCCCTGGAGTGCAAACACCAGGCTCTGCGGTACCCCTAGAGTAGCCCTTTTGAGGAGTGAATGGATATCGATGCAGATGAGTCAGTCAGTCAGTCTCCTCCTCCCTCCTCCCTCCTCCCTCCTCCCTCCTCCCTCCTCCCTCCCTCCCTCCTCCTCTCCTCCCTCCTCCCTCCTCCCTCCTCCTCCCTCCTCCTCCTCCTCCTCCTCCTCCTCCTCCTCCTCCTCCTCCTCCTCCTCCTCCTCCTCCTCCTCCTCCTCCTCCTCCTCCTCCTCCTCCTCCCTCTCCTACCCATGGTAGCGGTGGTGGAGAGTCGGCCCCATCCGGGTGCGCTCTGACCAGGACGCCGTGGCGAAGCCCCGGCCGTGGCGACGGGCCGAGGCCGGAGGCACCCGCGCTCCTGGAGGGCCTCCACGAGCCGCGCCGGGAAGGCGAGCTGCGTGACCACCGTGCTCAGCAGCGGGGCCCAAGGCTCCAGCAGCGCGGCCTCCTCCAGGCCGACGCTCTTCCTCGGGGGAGCAATCCAATGATTCGAGCAGGGGCCGACCGTCCCGGCACTCCCCATTATAGGCCTACCACGGGACGTTCTCAGAGCCCACGGATGTTCTAGGAACGAGAGCACTGTCCTTAGAACATAAGCCCGACGTGTTATACCAGCAATAATAGATCGGCCAGAAATGTTCTAAGAACATTTCGTAGAAACCACAAAAGGTTATTGGAACATTTTTTGGTGGACATATATATATATATACACATATATATAGGCACGCCAGGACGCTTCGCCACTGCTTGAATGATAGAAGCAGAAAGACTCGGTGGTCCGCGCGGATTCGGATCGGCGCTGGACCTCCCTCCCTGGCGCGCGGAGCGCGCCGGGGGCGGCGCCGGAGGCGCTGCCAGGGGGGGTCCGGCGCGGATCCGAGACATCCGCGCGGACCTCCGAGTCTTTGTGTTTATGCCACTGCTTGATGGATCCGCTTCCCACCACCACTACTATAGGTAGGAGAGGGGGGAGAAGGCGGAGGAGGAGGAGGAGGAGGAGGAGGAGGAGGAGGACATCCTCATCCTCCCCTCTCCCCCGTCCTACATGTGGAAATGGTGACGGGAAGCGTGCCCATCGGCTGCCTGCTCCCCTGCTCCTCAGCATCGCGATCACGATCCAGTGCAGCTCCGCCTGCGTCGGCGGCCCCCGCCGGTAGCTCGGCGGGGGGTCCGACGTGCGGCGGCCGGCCAGGCTGCCGGTGCGGGAGCGGGGGCGCGGGGAGTCCTGCGAGCCGTTCGCCACGCTGCCGGCGTTCGAGCACGACGCCCCTCCGGCCTCCTCGTGCGGGACGCACATCGACACACCAGCACTGTATTCAGGTCGGGCATACTACTACTACTACTACTACTACTACTACTACTACTACTACTACTACTACTACTACTACTAACTACTACTACTACTACTACTACTACTACTA